GCACGAAAGATACCAGAATATTTTACGCATACATCTGCTTTTCATTAACCGGAATAATACTTTTCATTTGTCTGTCTATTGCACGATACTGCCTGGAACACACCATAGAGAAGAATACGAATGAAAGAAACAAATGTTCCCATGGGAAATTTCAATGTATTTTCATTTGCATTTTTATGAGTTTAATGTTTATAGGGGGAGGTACGAATTTCGTGTATGGAACCCTCCTTTTGCTCTTTGGAACGAACAGTAAGCTAAACATTCCAGAGAATATCATGGCCCTCATGACATCTTCGATGTATGCAGTTACATTGTTGGGGCGGATTGGGGGAGTGATTGTGAGCCTCGCAGTTTCTGAGTTGGGTTTAATCACAGCCAGTTTGGTAGGGGTGTCAGCTTGTTCTATCTTCCTAATTATAACTGCAGAAAAGAGTCTGGCGTATTTATGGGTTGGTTCCAACGTACTGGGATTATGTTATGCGCCGTTTTTTGCTGCGTTGCTGGCATGGAGTGTTGAAAATGTTGCTGTGGGCGAGGACACGTATGCCATGTACGCTTTCTGTGACATAGCAGGAACATCGGTGATACCACTAGTTGTAGGACAACTAATGTCAGTCGTTTGCCCTCAGATGCTGCATTATTCTTTGGGGGTTATATCGGTGATACAAGTACTGGCTTTTTTGTGTCTCTTCTACCTTGGAAAGCAGGTCAGAAAGCAGAAACACGAGGAATACACCGTTCTATCTGGAACTTGAAGGGAGAATCACTTGTGATAATAGGTGATGTGAAAAACAGAACGCTTCTTGTCTGTAACTATTGTACATATTATATGTTAGCATGTGTTTTGACACGCTATAAAATATTAAAACTATTCTTTTCGTTGGTCTTCAACGTGACGATCGAACGCTTTAGGCTATCCCACCACACTTTAATACTATTCTAACTGAAAACATAACATGTGATAAAGAAGAAATTGTGACAGGCAGCACTTGTTTAAAATTCTATAATACCAACGCCCACATAATTCTGAGATTTCGAAATAAGAAATGATATCATGACATACCCATCAAATGTGTAATTTATACCTGATATCTTTCTACATTATTGATAATGAATGTGTATAACCTTATTTGGATATTAAACAACAAATAGAAATAACTATTCTATATCAGTGATAACGATGTAACAGTTAAATGAATATACAAGAACAAGTCTTACATACCTGGATTATAGTGGATGATGACGCCGTCTACTCAGTTAACAGTGGTGGTGGTGGTGGAATTGGGTTTAACGTCGTGCTTGAGAATATTTCGCTCATATGACGACGTGCATGCGTGTGTATGTGTATGTACGGCTGCTTGTACTAGCCCAGACTTAAGCTGGTTTTATAGTGCTAGCCCACTGAGATACCATGCCGCAGTAAATCATGAAAACTCCACTCAGACACATTATACTGACTCCGAGCCGACCAGTCCTGGTTGTACCCATTAATGCCGAGCGCCAGACAGGGACGAACAAGTACCATATTTTAACGTCTTTTGGTTTGACGCGGTCGGGGATCGAACCCGCGACCTTCCGCACTCCGGGCGGACGCTCTAACCACTACACCACGGAAGCGGTCCAGTTAACAGTGACAGTATTTTAGATTTAATTACTAGTTTTAAATATATATATCTGTGATAGTCTAGTTGGTTTTACTGTCCTTTGTCGATAGATATTTTAAAACGATTACCTTACTTTCATCGCTATATGGCTGTAATATTGCGGTTGCGATGTAAAATTTTAACTCACTCACTTACTCACTCCTTACACCGCCCCATGATAGCTCTTGTCACTATAGTACTGTCGGAAATAGAAAAAAACTGTATTTTCTCATTTATCTCTACAATTTATGTAGTTGATATGTGAAAATGTGAACTATCTGTTAAACTAAGTTCGGCCTAACTACAGTCTCAGTGGTAGAGAGATAGGAAACGGAGAAAAATGACTTTACTGAGGGGAAATTAGTGCATAAATGAGCAATGCGGTTTTTTTGCTAAGTCCAAAAAGACTTATTTGGAACAGACCATGGCTTTATGCAAATTAGTGTGCGACGATATTGTATTACATAGGACACTTGTTAAATGCCCAATTTGAAATTAGACGTAGATTCATTATAAACGATAGCTGACGTAAAAAATAATAACTTTTATGCCGAAACTATTAAGGATGTAGCTACCATGCAGTCCCACTGTCACTATAAAAAGAAACAGATAGGAGGGGTCGCCTCAAAAGCAAAACCTGGGGTCGGGCTTGGGGATAGAGATATCAGCTAAGATAAGATAATCCTTTAGGGCAATTATACTGGGGAGGTACACGGCACGTCATAACAATTTACAAATAATATCCAGTTCTGTCGATCTTCGGGTACGTGGTCATGCCACCTATATACTACGATGCGTTTTTATGGTTTTCGGGTATCATACTCTCTTACATATCTCAACATGAACTTTATGAAAGAAAGACACGTAAGATGTTAATCAGTAGATAAGACATAGTCAACACACATGAAAAAGCACAAAGTTATCTTTGAGATGACCCCTTGTGCCTGTAGGCAGCACGTGCATTTCACGCCAGGTGAGTCGACGGTCCGTCGTCATACCTGAGTGAGCGACCTAATTGCCATCTATAGTCTGATCTATTGTTTTCAGCAGCTATACGTATTTTTTCTAAGTATTGCCCGATTTTATGAGTAAACATGCTTTTCTGGATATCGTATTACGCATCCCACTGAACGCCCAGTTAGGCCGAAGTAGGTTATTTCGACATATGCTATTTGCAATTGTGTCAACTTAAGGGATACAGAGTAACAGCCTAAAAACAGTTTTTTTCTATCTCCGACAGTACTATAGTCATAGCTCTGTTATTACTTCCATACATGCGTTGATTATGGTGTTGTTTTTAAATATAGGAAACAGTGGCCGTATAATGTAGAGTGAGTGAGTTTGGGCGTGACCGGCGAATGCTTTAACCACTAGTCTACCCCACCGCTCCGTATAATTGAGAAGTAACAGTAATTGCAAATGGATGTATTTATCTGTCACAGTTCCTAAAGGAACAAACGATGTTTGTACAGAATTAAAAGATGTTAAAGAAAGCTATCCATTGATAGTACACTGGATGATTCATACTCACCTCCAACAATGACACCATACACAGGAATCCAATGTGAAAACGAACTTGTGTCGGTATTTCCGTCCTGACTGAGGTCCTGCTGTGTAGACGATTGAGTCAGTAAATTTGTTACAGTATATTTACATCATCTGTGGTAATACCAATATTTCTCTCAGCCATTGCACGAGTTTACGTGTTAATCAATTTCAACATTTCTGATGTGCATTAGGTTTTGCGAGTATGTTATTGGTCTATAATATAATTTAACACGATGGCTGACGTTGCAGCAAATACAGCTTTAAACACACCTGTGACGCCATTTCTAATACCTTGCAGCGAGGACGGTGGGGTAACTCAATACTTAATGAGTTCCCTCGTCACGCTAAAGATCCGGGTTCGATTCCCAATATGGGTACAATGTGTGAAGCCCATGTCTGGTGTCCCCCGTTGTGATATTGCTGGAATATTGGCAAAAGTGGCGTAAAACCGTACTCACTCACTCACTCCTTATATATATTTCATGATGCGATTCAACAATCTTTGTTAATGCTCATGTACTTAGTCTACAGATGCCTGTTTTAGACACATGGTAGTTTTAAACACCACCAGTGATAGTCTGGCTATTTTACATTCCTTTGATGACTGGTTTTTCTAACAACACGTATTAACTGGAATACTGCCGACGTGATTCACTCAGAAAGCACAACACTTGCTTTTGCTGTTAGTTGGTTGGTTATTTGTTGTTTTACGCCGCACTCAGCAATATTCCAGCCATATGGCGGCGGTCTGTAAATAATCGAGTCTGGCCCCTCACAATCCAGAGATCAACATCATGAGCATCGATCTACGCAACTGGGATACGATAACGTGTCAACCAAGTCAGCGAGCCTGACAACCCCTTTGACGACAAGCACGTGTTGATGAAGACCGGTTCTAACCCGGATCGTCACGGGTGGCAAGATAAGTGTTGACGTGAACAAACCTAGGAACTGCACCCGATATAATCTTGGTCACCTTTGTGACATTAAATTTTAACTCACTCACTCACTCACTTGGTCACAAAACGTTTGAGCAAAAAGCATCTGACTCACTTTCAAGTGCAGAAAGAGCCTGCTCCAACGTTTTGGACATGACGACAGACATCGAAGGTTGGAACTGCTTCAATTCCGTGTGAGATAATGTGACAAAAACGTCGGAAAGATGACAGCTTCCATGCTGTCATATTGTAGACACTTTGTCTCTAACTATTTATGCTCAGATCCATTGTCAAGCACAGCCATTGCATATGTTGCTGAAGATAAATTCCAACCAGGTTCTTCTCAGGTCAGCAGTAGAACAAAACATAACTACACTTATTGATCAGTAGATTTATCTGAGGGTAAAGAGCATGTATTCTAAATGTTCTTTCTTAGATGTTAAGACAGTTCATGTATGCTGACATTATAAGTTGTTCACTGGTCTCGAAGGGCTCATGGGTTGATGTACCCTCAATGTTTGTTTATGTCCCCTGAGCCCGAAAGGCGAAGGTAACATAAACAAACATCGAGGGTACATCAACCCGTGGGCCCCGAAGGACCAGTGAACAACGTATTTATCTTACCGAACACCTTAATGTTAATTTTGAATTGTTTGAAGCACGGGTACAAATCTTTTTGTAGCCATGCTAGATTTTGCTGACGAGAAAAACATATTTAGAGTTATCTCCCTTCCATCGATTTGCATTCGCAAAACATCGGTAATGTCCGTACATCATACGTGATTCAATGTTATTCGAGATAAAGAATTACTACCATGAAGTACCAAATGAGTTGCCATTGACAGCGGGGTACATTGAAATGTTACTCGCTTGTAAGCGGGGTACATTGGAAATGATAGAAGAGCGCTCAGCCAATCAGAAAGTGACATTTATGTGTGATAATGTCCATTGTTTCTCTGAGTCATTGTATTTGGCCATTGTCCATTTTAACAGTCATTGTACATGACCTGTTGTTTCCATTGTCTAGCACAGTCCTTGAATATGGCCATTGTCAGTCACAGTCATTGTATATGTCCTTTGCTCATGTTCTAGCACAGCCATTGCATATGACCATTGTCTAGCACACTTGTCAGTCATTGTATATGGTCTTTGTCTAGCACACTTGTCAGTCATTGTATATGGTCTTTGTCCATTTTCTAGCACTGTCATTGTATATGACCATTGTACATTGTCTAGCACAGTCGTTGTACATGGCCTCTGTCCATTGTCAAGTACTGTCATCCTCTCAAAGTAAGACTAGCTTCCGCTCCCTGAGGTTGCCTGTTTACCTCGTTTTAACGTCAGATACAATAAAACGATCAATAAAAGCTGTAGCAGTGAAACAGCCGTCATAATATAGTTTAGCATTTGGACAAATGCACAGGCCATCAGTTGCCCAGTCAGAAGAGACATGGCAGAATATCCCACCATATCGGCTGTTGATGATATCCCATATAAGATATGCCTGTGCTCATTTTCACCAAGAGCCCATGTCTCAACAGCCGAGAACACAGGAGCACATACTATTGCTAAAACACTTGTCCCTATCCATAAACATGTTGTATTTATTTCTGATACATAAATGAGCATGCTAGATAAGAGCATGCCTCCAGTGGTGCAGATATTGATAAGAACAGTTTGTGTAACAACTTGGCTGCTAAACACACCAAGCAGCTGACCAACTATGGTGCATGCGTAAAAAGATAATGATATGTTTGTCACCAGTCTGGTGCTACTATATAAACTGCAGTAAATTCCAAACGTTGGTAAAAACTGACCATATACAAAGATCATCGGTGCACAGACAGTCGTGTATATCAACATAATAAGTATCACTATGACATCAAACTTGTCATAGGGGTGAGCTTTGATAGTTTGGTATTTTTTTACGTGACTGTCGTTAATGCGAATGTCTTCATGAAGCAGCTGTACTGAGAATAGATAACCAGCAAACACGATTATTCCTAGACTTGCGATGAAAAAGAATCCATACATTACATTCGATCTGAAATGGTTGCATACTTCGTCTTTGCTGTTCTGTGAGACAAATGTATCATTATGACTGCGATGCATAGGAGCACTGATAGTGCTGTGTTCAAGATGGTAGTCATTGTCACTTAGAAAAAAAGAAATGATCAACGGTCCGATGAATTCTCCGATGTAGATAGCGAGGCTGTTGATATGGATGGAAGCCGCATGTCCTTTGCTCATCTCTCCGGACAAGACCATCATTGCTGCAAAGGAAAGTGTGTTGTAATTTGTCTCTACCATTAACCCATTTATTTTGGCAAGATGAAATATCGATGTCAGACTGACTGACTGACTGAGTTTGGTTTTACGCTGCTTTTAGCAATATTCCAGCAACATCACGGCGGGGGACACCAGAAAATGGGCTTCACACATTGTACCCATGTGGGGATTCGAACCCGGGTCTTCGGCGTGACGAGCCAACGCTTTAACCACTAGGCTACCCCACCGCCCCCGATGTCAGAAGTAGTAGTAGTAGCTTCAGCATATTTAGCAAAAGTGTTGCGCTGCATTCGAGACATTACGAACGTTTGATGGCGAGAATCAATAACTCGCATGACGATGACCTACGTGTTACCATGCACAAGGGCGGTGTTAAGCCTAGTGGTTGAAGCGTTCATGCGGAAGACCAGGGTTTGATTCCCCACATGAGTACAATGTGCGAAACCCATGCCTGGTATCCCTTGTCATGATATTGCTGGAATGTTGCTAAAAGCGGCGTAAAACTAAAGTTGCACATTCACTCACTTACTTACCATGCACTGCAATTCCGGTGACCAGTCCTACCCCACCTGCTACCACTAGCGCCATCCACAGAGAAGGAACAACGGGTACAACAGCCAACAGACAGCAAGCCGTGGTCATGGTTGTGGCTGTAAGACCGTACAGGTCGAAGTGACCACGGATCTTCAAGAACAGCAGGGATCCAATCACCCTACCTGCTGCAATAACTGGAGGCAACAGACTGACTTGCTGTAATGTGACTTTGTAGATGCATTGTAGGTCTCGAAGTGCCGTTCCGAATCCACTGTCAAGCATGCCCTGTGGATACACAAAAGGAACATTATTGAAGTATAAACTAAAACATTGACTATTCCAATTGCTTTGTTTTATAGTCTAATTGATTCAACTGTGAGATTTGTTGTTAATAAGTTTATAATTAATCTTGTCGAGCCCAGGAAACCCAGTGTTTGTTGTTCGTTTGTTTGTTTGTTTGATGTTTCACGCCGCGCTCAGATGCCCAATAAGGTGGTCTGGCCTTGGTGACTGGTGGTATATAGCTTGTATTTTATTGGTATGACATGTAATATTGATCTTTGTGTTGAATAAAGTCTTTTATCAATTGAAATGGTTAGTTTTTAGATTCAAAATGATAACTTGCTAATGTTTTGGTGTCCTTTGCGACAGATATTTCTGATAGTTAAACCAAATGTTTCTCGTCACTATATGGCCGAAAATTTGCCGATGTGACGTAAACTTTTTGCGTACTCACTCACTCCGCGCTCAGCAATATTCTAGCTGTACGTCGGTGGTCTGTAAACAATCGAGTCTGGACCACTGATCAACAGCATGAGCATCGATCTACGCAACTGGGATACGATGACATGTGTCAACCTAGTCAGTGATCCTGACCACTTGATCCCGTGAGTTAGCTCTTACGACACGCGCGGGTTCCTGAAGACCAATTCTTGCCCGGATCTTTACAGGTCTTGATAATAGGAGGACGCAGACGTTCTCAATGACATACTTGTAAAGTGCTCTTTAGCAAACATATACTACTGGAATAAAGTAACCGAGCATTATTTGATGTTTTGCCATTTTGTAATGCAGATAATAACATGATTTGTTGTGTTTTACTTAAAAACTGTGTAACTGTTGAAAGGATGATACCGAAATCTGTATGATTTGACACCAAACATCGTGACACGCCCTTGAAGAAATATGGTGTCAAATGTCCCCAAATTCAGTATCGTGTGTGTCCACGATTGGTGTTGATGCAGCCTTGAAAAACGACGACGTATAGACAACACTAAGCGATTGAATAAAGCTTGGAGAATGTCTGAACCAACACTTGTCCCAATTGAACTTCAGGTGTCAAAAAGCATGCAAAAAGTTCATTGTGAACAAAGTGTACGTGCCGCACGACATCATGCAAAGTGCTATACCACATGTTTATGTGAGGTTATTTTTTAAATAACTTTTATTTTATGCAATTTAAAGTAATGCACAGTTACTTTTTTCCATTAGTAAATATTTGTATTCTAGTGAAGCATGTCTAAGTATCCCAATGTTTCATTATAGGAGCCAAGGATGTGAGACTAATCTCATTGTCAATGGTTTTCTTGATTATTCTGCACAGTAGGGCTGCATTTAAATCGATGCGAAGTGCCACATGAAATATGCACAGACTGGTATCTTTAAGGCTAAACACAAGCAACAGATTGCGTCTCGCCACTGACACATTTTTATGGCTTATGGTAAGTGTAAGCTTGGTGATTAGCAATGGAATGTTGGCTACAGATTGTCAACACGGCCAGTACACGTACGGATTACTCAATGAGTGAGTGAAGTTTTTACACCGCATTTTAGCAATGTCGAGGCGGGGCACACCAGAAATGGGCTTCACACATTGTACCCATGTGGGGAACAAACCCAGGCCTTCGGCGTGACGAGCGAACACTTAACCATTAGGCTACCCCACCGCCCCTGCCTATATCACAATGTTTCACTAGCCTTCATTGAGCGCTGCACTAGTCATCTTGGAAACGTGGCGTCGTCATGGCTATTCCATAAAGTATAGATTTTATCAGATTGCTAATTAATGTGCAGGTTCTCAAAACGTTGGTTCGCTACGCCGAAGACCCGAGTTCGATTCCCCATATGGGTACAATGTGTGAAGCTCATGGTGAACGACCGAAGGGAGGTGTAAATCCAGCTAGGGCCCATGCGGGTAGCACATACACCGTAAGACCCCATGGTCCTCAGTATGGTGATCTACTTTCAGTTGTTGGTGATCTATAGCCTGTTTGTATATTGCATTAAAGTCTTTACATACTAGTTTTATGTCTAAATATATGATCTTCTGTTTTTACTGTCCTTGGTTGACAGTTGTTCTCTTTTTATAAATTCAACTTTTTAGTCATGATATGGCTGAAATACTGTCAATGTGACTTTAAAATTTAACTCACTGACTCATTTGTGGTGTCCCCCGCCGTGATATTGCTGAATTATTGCTAAAAACGGCTAAAACCATACTGAACAGGAAAGCAAATAGGGTTTTTTATAGCACGTAATTGCCATATTTTGTACAGTCAAGGATTACAGTGTATCCGTTTTTTCATCATGCACCGTCAAGAATATCAAACACACACTTTGGGACCCACTCTGTTGTATCCGTATTTGGGAAAGAATTATTCTGCCATGCGGTTTGTACACTTGTAATGTATTGGCCCGTTTACCTGAGAAGGAATATGATATGCTGGAAACTGTACAAAGCCAGTTTTGTAAGAGTATCCAAGGCCTTTCAAAACGTGGATCATCCACAATAGCCAGAGACAGTCTCACCCTGTTCACACTGCGAAGATATATGCACCAGAAGTCCTTGCTATTTCTCGGTAAACTATGTAACAGCGATACTGAATTTGCCTTTAAGAAAGTGCTTGTGCATAGACTCTGTCAGTACAGACAAACCTCATCACTTGAGAAAGAGCGATTTTGCAAGTCATCGCCAATCTTCCATATGCTTAATCTTGTCACAATGTATGACCTAGATATGCATTTATACAACTATGTAAACCAATCTTCCTTCTTAACGAAGGCTGAGTGGTCTGTGCTGGTTAAAGAAAGAATACTTAAAGCTGAGGATTCATGTGTTGCTTCTGTAACGAGGTTGAGACTTAACCTTGAAAGATATCAGACTATAAGATATCCTAAAAATGTTCACAGACTATGGTCTGCTTGCTATAAAATGCCAGAGTGTTCCAATAATATTGCTGCTCTTTTACGTATCAGCAGACTGAGCATTCAATCTCTTGAGTGTGAATGTGGCATAGTTTCCTCTGATATTGTAAAACATGTATTTCTACACTGTACTCTCATACAAAGTAGTAGAAACATGCTAGATGTTGACACTTTTGTCAGTTTATGGAATGATGAAGATCTATTTGTCTCATTTATGCTCGGTGGTCTACCAAATGTATATGCTCAAGAGCTTGAACAAGAAATGTGGTTTAAATGTATAAAACTTATCGCAAGCTCTGTAAAACCCTGGCTACATCAACTAAAATACCTTTTCTAATTTTGATTATCACACTCTGTAACCTGTAAATACATATATATAACTTATGTTACAACCTGCTGTATTTTCGACTTCGGAGGAAATAAAGATTATCTATCTATCTATCTATCTTTGGGACGCAATGTTGTCGAAGCGTGTCCATTATCAAGGAAAAGCAAATGTCAATTTGTCTAGACTATTGCGTTAGATTCTGACTGAAAGCTAGTGCTGACCAATATGAGATACTTGGCATGCACTGAACATCACTTGCTTCATGAACATTTTTGAAGATTTTTTTTTCCTTTTTCCTGTTTCTAGCTAGGTAAGTTATTTCAGTCAGTGTGTGCACCTGTATCTGAGACATATGTCATGACCTAATGATCAATTAATATACGCGAAATGAAATATCGATCTCAAAATACGAATGTGCAACACCTTGCTAGCGGATGCCAATCGTCGGCACTATGTTATGCAACATGATAACGTGCAATTGTAACTCGTTCTTGAAATGCTACAGAATCTGCATAAACTGGTTCCTGCAATGATACCGAATCTGCATGAACTTGCTCTTGAAATGCTTCAGAATTTGCTTAAATTGGTTTTTAAAATGCTACTGAATCATGGTTCGAGCTGAAATGCGTAGATGGCGTCATGAAAATACAGTATGCAGACCAGCATATGTGATCTTGAAATTTATGATAAATATGTTAATCATTGCATTCCATGTCGTTTTTGACACTAATGAATAAAATTACAAGATTCAGGAAAAGAGGCCAACATTCAGACCTCCCTCACAAAATATCGCAAGTTCCTTGGTGTCCTACTTCTACCGGGTTTTAATGCAAACTTAAAACAGCTCTTCCAAAATCACTGCATACAGCAGAAAGCGCTTGTTGGGGACAAAGGACAATGATAGCCGAAAACCAGACTGTGCAGCATCGCTTAAACAACTTATGCTACATTTATGGTTATTTTTTTCCGTAAATAATAATACATTTTATGGTTAATAAAGGTGAATGTCAAAACCTGTGCATTCGTTAAATTTTACCACTGTACACTTTGAAGAAGATGCAGACGACATCGCCGTGGTCCCGTAAAGATTCGGATTAGAATTTATCTTTTGCAACCCATGCCTGTCGTAAGAGGCGACTAACGAGATCAGGCGGTCAGGCTCGCTGAGGTGGTTGACACCCGTCACCGTATCCTAATTACGTAGGTCGATCTATATATCGATATGTACTTACATCTAACAGCGCTATCAAACACAGGAATCCCAGCCGTATGTACTGTGTTGCCATCCTGCTGGAGGTTTGTTTTAATGTGGAAATATGATGCAAACATCACAAATATCATTAATCTGACTCATCGCCCATCAGGGACGCCGCCAGTCTGCATGTTACACGTTAATGTCATGTAAATCAATATTACTTACTATTCCCATTATAAACCATCCACGTGGATCTGTAACTCATCTCCAATATGAACATTGAATTAGTTTGTTTTTTTAGCCATTATTCGTTTTTCTGTTTCTACAGTACCTGACAAAGCTGACGTTGACGGTGTGAGCGTGGCCATCAAACGTGCTCTTTGAATAATCCAATGGTTGAGCGGCATGTCTTTCTGTGGCTGCACGTGTTCTGGTCCGAACTTATGTCTGTTTCATGATGACAGTATATTTGCATACAATGCTGGAGATTAACACCCATACTGTTCAGTGACCACATATCGAGTCACAGCCGACCAGATCTTGTTTTATCTACCACAGTTTTTAATCGCAGTATATATGTAGATTTGAGAAAAAAAATGGCTAACCTTGCGTACAGTCGCTAACAGTTCTTTCCCTTGTCTGCTGCGGATAGTGGTCATCTTCGATTGAAGCCATTCGCCAAAGCAAGGGACATTGAAGGTTAAGCCTTCGAGTGAGTAAGTGAGTTTAGTTTTACGCCGCACTCAGCAATATTCCAGCTATATGGCGGCGGTCTGTAAATAATCCGAGTCTGGACCAGGCAATCCAGTGATCAACAGCATGAGCATCGATCTGCGCAATTGGGAACCGATGACATGTGTCAACCAAGTCAGCGAAACTGACCACCCGATCCCGTTAGTCGCCTCTTACGACAAGCATAGTCGCCTTTTATGGCAAGCACATGGGTTTAATGGGTTGAAACTGTATGAACTGGTTGTCCACTGATTGAATGTTGGTTGGTTGGTTGACCTGTTGTTTAACACAGCACTCACCAATATTCCAGCTATATGGCGGCGGTCTGTATATAATAGAGTCTGGACCAGACAATCCAGTGATCAACAGCATCTATCAACAGTGATCTATGCAATTGGGAGACGATGACATGTGTCCTGACCACCTGATCCCGTTAGTCGCCTTTTACGCCAAGTAGAAGACCATTTTTAACATGGATCTTCACGCTTCTTTGGCCGAATGTAGAAACAGATCCAATCCAAAATTCTGCTCTCGGGCAAATCATTAGCAACTGTTGAGGTTTCCCCTCCCAACACTTTGAATAGCAGTAAAGATATTGAATTTTCACAATGACCGAGACTGACATTGTGACAGAATTGCACGTTTTGTCTGTTAAAAAGAATAGTGTCTCCAAAAAGTCTAAAAAAGTAGCTGTCTAGTTACATTTGTCCTTTAAATCCATCCACACTCACTGAAAACTGGCTTGTGTAACTTAAGGGTGGATGCATGTATCCCTAATCCCTTGACTGAGTGAATGAGTGCAGTTTGAGGCCGCTTTTAGCAACATTGCAGCAATATCAAGGCGGGAGACACCAGAAATGGGTTTACACATTGTACCCATGTGTGGAATCGAACCCGAGTCTCCAGCGAACGCTTTAACCATAAGCCTACCCGACCGTCTCTTATCCCTTGAGCTGTTACACCTGCCAAAGGAATGATCAAAGTCGTGCCATATTCCAGCAGCATGCCATCGATCTGCTATGATGGCAGCAACCTCTGCAATAAACCTCCGGTCTGTGTCAGCTGTTCTGGCAACCACCCATCTTCTTCCAAGGATTGTCCTACTTAGAAGCATCAATCTTAAACACGAAAAGAACATTCAGTTTTTTCGAAGCAATGAAGATTGTGCTTGCACAGGATCAAACAGGTCCGACATGTACCACCACTATTTCTGCTTCTGCTTCTATTTCGCCACCTAAACCAAAACGCATTCCATGTAATACAGTAGGCTGCAAGACCAAATACACGTGGACAACACATGAGCTCCTACTTTGTTATCTGCCAGGTCCAGGTGAGACGTCCACAAGAGACCTCAAGTTCACAAACCATGTCGTCATCACAAACGATGATTCAGTCCCAGACATCTTGTTACAAGGATTCGTATTCATCGCAGAAACAATCTTCTAAATTAGACCAACAAACTAGATCAGACAAAACTATGAAACAAACTCAAACCGAATACAGAAACGTCTAAAAGAGTGGAAGTGACAGAGCCCTGAAAGGGGCAGATAACCAGGTCCAACTCTACAAGTTCGGACCCGTTGAGGACATGGATGTGTCAGAAAACATCCATCGTAGGACACATAGGAACACAAGGGGTCGACCTTCTATTATTCCTTTGAAAAGATAACTTCAAGTGTAGTATAAGGGAACTGCAGATGACTGAGGTATAGTGAGTGAGTGAGTTTAGTTTTACGCCGCACTCCGCAATATTCCAGCTATATGGCGGCGGTCTGTAAATAATCGAGTCTGGACCAGACAAGAAAGAGATCAACACCATGAGCATCGATCTGCGCAATTGGAACCGATGACGTGTGTCAACCAAGTCAGCGAGCCTGACCACCCGATCCCGTTAGTCGCCTTTTACGACAAGCATGGGTTACTGAAGGCTCATTCTAACCCGGACTTTGACGGGTGACTGAGGTATAACTTTCCAAAACATACCAGGTTTTACATCGTAAGCAATTCGTTACTTTCATTAATGGCTAAATTAGGCAAGAAGATAAACAAATTAGTTATTAGTAAGCATGGAAATGCCTAAAGTCTAATCTCATTGCTTCCCCTGTGATTAACAACGGACAGGTGATAGTTTATGATTATGTATTAATTAAAAGAATTTAAATCAATTAATAAATTTGGGCATTTAATACATTACCTACTTTTCACAGAAGTGATGGAAACAATAGGGCAGGTAACATGGCATCTGCTATGAGGGACTAAAATAGTGGATCTTCGCACAAAGAGCGTGAAAAAGTGAGTATTCATGAAACTATTCATTGCTATCATGATCGGTAAATGGATAAAATCTAAATATTACTGAGATTGATGGAAAGAAAAATGTGTACACTTTCACCAGTACAGCAGCTTCATTCTTACATGAAAATTACATTGATGAAGAAGAGATATACAAAGAAGCAAAGCATATGGGGAAAACATTGAGAAGCATCCTAATGGAATTGAGGCCCAATGGTAACTGCTATCCATCTCCAGATGATATCAACATTGAACATTTGGAAAGCCAAATACCCAAACTGCTCTTGACTTTCATGCAGAGTCTTTTTGGAAAATCAAACTCAAGTGAAATCCATAGGAGGGTGAAGCTTCAAATTGTTTCTCTGTGTCATATAATCATGCATGCATGTACCCAAAACTCTTACCAATCCCCACTGTTACTTGCGTCTGGTCTGTTTGTTCATCAAACTACACGATCAAAGGTTCTACTGAATGCCCTGTCTGCTCTTGGTATGACAATATCATATGATCAAGTTTTGGACTTTGAAAGATCTGCAGTGACTAGTGAATCTGTGTTTGACCTACATCCTGGCATTGATACAAGTGATCAAAGGGGTTACTGTCAGTGGGTTGCAGACAATTTTGATTACAATGAGGATACAACAAGTGGTCATGATTCTACACATGTCATGGGTATCATTACTTGCCAAACACCATCATCACAAACTAAAACAACTGTACAGAAAAAGAAGCTACTTGCAAGTGACATTTTGCCTGCTGGAGAATTCAATAACATACAGCTCTATCTGAGTCCCCAAACTAACCACATGTCAAAGCTGAAGTTTTCCTCATTACCATCTGTAGAGGTTCCAAAACTACAGGATTTCAAACTTCAAGACACCCTTTGGATGTTGTCAAATTTTCGAAGTCAGATTACACCTGGATGGCAAGGATTCATGGCAGGCATTGTAATGGGTGACTTCCACCAATCCAAAATATTGTATCATCCGATGATACCACTGAGTCCACAAACATGTGAAGCAGTTTATTCAACCATGGTGCTTGCGGATAATCAAAGACAGAAAGTTGGACAGTGTTGTGCCCTACGTACCTTCGGCCAGCCTCTCTACGCCAAAGCATTCGAGATTAAGACAGAGCATCCACTGGAATTTGCTCATGTGAAGTTACGTCTTGGTGGGTTCCATCAGTTGATGTCCTTTCTTGGAGCAGGATGTAAAAGTATGCAGTTTTCAGGCAAGGATGAGCTATGGTCATGTCTGTATGCAACAAACTCTATTCCTCAGATGTTCAAAGGAAAGTCCTACAGCAAGACAGTGCGGGCTTGTCTCTTAACATCAGCTGCATTGCACATTTTGCTCTTTGATAATCCCCCCCCCCCCCCCCCCCCTTAGTCTTCTCATATGAGTTGGCTTCTGTCTCACCGTCTTTGTTCCATGATGATAATACCATGAGAAACTCCACTAAATCACAACTTGTCAACTGCATCACAGATTTGTACCCAGATATTGTAATGCAAGACAGTAGTCAGCCAGAATGCGTGATCATTGATGGATGTGCCCTGCTTCAACAGCTGAAGTGGCCAAAGGTAGGAACTATGGCAGATGTTTGTACCTCTTATGTCAGTGCTGTGTCCCATAGATTCAACAGAGACTGTAAAGTAACAGTTGTGTTTGATAGTTACGAAGTTCGCACTACCAAAGATCAGGAACAGATGAGGAGGAAACAGTTCAGGTCAGTATCGCCAGATATCGCTGTATTAGCAACAACACCTATTCCAGGAGATTCAGCAGGCTTTCTTTGCAACAAGTAAAACAAGCAGCAAATCATCAACCTGATTTCTTCACATCTTCAGACATCAGGAATTGACGTACATAATGCTGGTGTTGAAGGGGATGCCGATATTGTGATTGTGAGAAAGGCTGTGGAGTTAGCACAAGATAACGATACTGTACACGTCATTTCTGATGATGATGTCTTTGTGGTACATGTTCACAGAGAGTGCATCTACAAGTCAGCACATGGAAGAACCTAGCAACAGTACTTGACAAATCACAGTATGGATTCAAGTGTGACAATGAACATCTTATTC